TTGTCCTGACAATAAAATTAGTCAACGTCAAAGTATGGATAAAATAGTTAGGGGACGACCATTTGATATTCTGGGGGGGGGGGGGGGGGGGGGGCAGGAGGATTTGTTTTGGATCGGTTATTTATTTTTGTAAACTAAGAGGACAGATTATTTATTTTCTGCACTGTTGAAGCAAGGTTTTTCATTTTCATTAAAACAAGGGACTGATTATTTATTTGCATAACTATATTAATAATATTTGAAAACATACAATTTTAAATTAATTTTTTATTATAAATAATACATGTACAGTCAAGTCATTAATGTACCATTTAATCAGAATTAATCATCATCCTCTGCGGAAATGAATCTTCTGAATTCCAAACTGCATATACATGTATTGCATACATACACGGTATTAGACTTGGGCTGTGACTAGCCTCTTTTAAAAGTATTGCCAAATGTATTTACGCCGAGCGGAGCGAGGCAAAACAATTTTGAAGGGTTTGGAAGCCGCTGAAGGCCCAAAGAAACTATAGAACAAATGATGCAAAATCGTGCTTTCTGGGCGTTCCCAGACCCTTTCTTATTCTGAAAACGCAAGTTCTGTTTTAATAATTTTTTGACAATATTTTGGTCTCAAAGTAAAATGTATAGATTCAGCGTAAGACTTAAGTTTATATGGACAACATCAAAAGACCAATTTTAATGTGGCTGCTGGTTTTTTGTTTTTTGTTTTTTTTTTTGTTGTTTTTTTTCGGCATGCAGAATTTAAATCTTTTATACCTGTAAATTATATGGGGTTTTATTCAAATTAAGTTAAGAGGGGGCTGATTATCAGTGATATAACTATGTCAAGTAATTTTTAATAACACATTTCAATTACAACTTGATGTAGCTCTTAACTGGGATACAATTTAAAGTAATTAAGTTGTAAAATTAGCTAAAAAGTACTAAATAAAATAAAAATCATGATCAAGTTGAAAACAAAATTACTAAATCATAAAAGGAATGCAACACTAAGAGAATACAGAAGGGTAATCAATGAACAAAAGACAAATTTAAAGAAACATTGATCCCGAAAAAACAGGTGCTACGTCCAAGGGAGAACAGAATTTGCTTCTTGCAAACACTCGCTGTGAAAACAATTTGATATGAAGACAAGCTTTTGGTTTTAAAATTTGCTACATAAAGGCATTTGCCTCAATGTAGTTAAAGCCCTGTAATAAAAGTGAGGTAAGTGTTCCTGAGCCAATATACCTCAAGTTAAATGAAACCCATTTTCAGACATTTCAAGTATATTTAAATAATATTTATACCTTTATTATTAAAAGATTTGGGAAGTGTTTCCCGTATTTTTTTTTGAAAAAAAGATGAATTTTATGAAGAATCTGGTGCCACCTCATACTTTCGAATAGCATTTATAAAATGGCTTAAAGATCTGCTCATGCTGCTGAGTTATTCATTTTCAATACATTGTAAGTCAGGTTATTTATTTTCGAACTACCACAGAACAAACCATTTATTTTTGTGATTATCAAGGCCGAGTTATTTATTTTCAAAATCCCCCCCCCCCCCCCCCCCCAGAATATCAAATGGTCGTCCCCTTACATCAAGGGGCAGACAATTAAATGATTTATGTATCCAACTTGGGCTACGCATTTTAAATGGCCGTATTTTTGGAGATTCACTGGGTCAGTATACCTCATACCAGTATGGTGGTAATAGTGTAATAGATTACTTTATTGTTTCTGAGCAATTGTTAGAATATATATCTTTTTTCAAGGTACATAAATTTGATGGTCTTATGTCTGATCATTGTAAAATATCTTTGATGATAAATGTTAATTGTTTTTTACATGTTGTTAATCCAAAATTGACTGGTCTACCTAATAAATATAAATGGGACGATAACTCTGAAACCAAATTTAAACTGGCATTAGAATCCAATACAGTCAAAGCACTAGTTAAAGAATTTGAAAACTCAATATCTAATAACATTTCCATAGAGAAAAATAAAATTGAAAATATTGTTAACAATTTCAATAAAATTATTTATGATGCAGCTGATCAATGCCTCAAAAAGAAAGGGGAGCCCTAAGAACAAAAATTCTGCATGCCGAAAGGCTAAATCAAGTAACTCCTCTTTTAAGTGGTATGATATGTCATTGATAAACCTAAAAAAAACATCTTGACAATAGACTTAATCTCTTTCTTATATATGGCAGTGACCCAAATGTTAGATCTTTATATTTTAGTACACTTAAGCAATATAGGAAACTTAGAAAACTTAAGTCTCGCCAATACCGCCAAGAGATTATAAATAGACTTGACACTTTATACAATACAAATCCAAAAGAATACTGGAAACTGCTTGATCAGCTTAAATCAAAAGATAAATTTAAAACGGATGATGAAAGTAATGTATCTGAAACTGATTGGTATGATTATTTTAGGAAATTGAACAAAGAGACATACTTAAATAAAGGAATGGATATACTTTTAGAAAATTTAGAAAAAAACAAAATTTTTAACGAATTAGATTACATCATATCTGAGAATGAAATACATAAAGCAATAAAAGAGCTTAAGAATAATAAAGCAGCAGGCTTTGATGTAATAATAAATGAGATGTTTAAATGTGGCCAGTCGGTTTTGGTGATACCACTTACTAAACTATTTAATACTATATTCTCATCAGGGGAGTATCCAACTCAGTGGAGTCAAGGGTATATTTATCCTATTCATAAAAATGGAGATAAAGATGATCCATCTAATTATAGAGGCATTGTTATTAATAGCTGTGTTGGAAAATTATTCACAAAAGTCCTCAATTTACGGTTAGATAAATTTCTTTTAAAAAACAATATTATACCCCACGAGCAAATAGGATTTACAAAGAAAAAACGTACTGTGGATCACATGTTTGTTCTAAGATCCCTTATTGAAAAACATACAAAAAAAGGGAGTAAACCTTTGTATGCATGCTTTATTGATTTTAAAAAAGCTTTTGATTCAGTTTGGCTTCAGGGGCTTTTCTATAAACTGAGACAGATTGGCGTAAGTGATAAATTTTATCATATATTGAAAAACATGTATGCCAATACTAAACTTTGTGTCAAATCAGGTCATAATTTGACTGAATTTTTTCAATCTGATGTTGGGGTTGAAGACAGGGAGACAATTTAAGCCCAAATTTATTCAAAATATTTATTAACGAAATAAAGAATGATTTTGATATCTCTAGTGACCCAGCATTATTAAATAAGAATCCATTGAGTTGTTTGCTGTATGCTGATGATATGGTATTGTTATCTTCAAGTGAAAAGGGACTGCAGACCTCTCTTAATAAGCTGTCATCTTATTGCTTGCAGTGGAACCTGAAAATAAACTATGAAAAAACTAAATGTGTGATATTTAACACGTCTGGTCGCTTATTGGGTTCAAAATTTACAATCAATAATATCACATTAGAAAATGTTAAACATTATAGATATTTGGGAGTTGAATTTTCAGCATCTGGTGCATTTACAGAGGCAAAATCTGAACTTTACAAAAAGGGGTTAAAGGCCTTTTTTAAACTAAGAAAATCATTAAATGATTCACTTCCAAAAATTTCAACCTTCATTCATATATTTGACCACACAATTCAGCCAATTTTACTTTACGGATCAGAAATATGGGGTGCTGGCAGTCCCTCAAAACTCAAGGATTCATCTTCTTTTTATAAACTATGTAATGATTTTATACTTGAAAAATTGAATGTAAAAAGTTGTAAATATATACTTGGTGTGAACAGAAAGAGCACAATCAATGCTGTCATGGCAGAAGTGGGACATTTACCCATACAATTGCCTATTTTAATAAGCATCCTTAAATATTGGATAACTTTAGAAAAATCTGAAGACATTTTACTAAAAGAAGCACTGGCACTGTCTAAAAACCTACATGAAAAAGGTCACACTTCATGGTATAGTTATATTATTAAAGTTTTGAAGCTTCTGGATCTCACTCCCAACAGTTTACTACATAAGAGTAAATATTGTATTAAAAATATAGTCATGGGAAAACTTAAAGGATTGTATATAAAAGAATGGAAGATTAACATTTTTAATGATGTAAGAAGTATTAATAACCAAAAAAATAAACTTCGTACATTTCGTTTATTCAAAACAAATTTTAATTTTGAACCCTATTTAAACCTGCTAAACTTTAAACAAAGGCAGGCATTAACAAAACTCAGAATTGGGGACCATCAGCTTGAAATTGAAACAGGGACACACAAAAACATCCCAGCTCCTGAGCGTATTTGTAAACTTTGTGAGGAGGAGGTGGAAGATGAGATCCACTTTCTCCTTCAATGCAAAAAATTAGAAACTTATAGAAAAACATTTATAAAAGAACTTTGTATTTCTTATCCTAATCTAAAGAAATGTAGCACCGAAAATATGTTTATATGGCTAATGGGTTGTGAGAATCTAGAAGTTCTAAAACGCCTATGTAATTTAATAATCAGTCTCTGGACTGAGAGGGATAATAATATGTTAAAAAAAGTAAATGATGCCGGTTAACTGACCCAGTGAATCATTCATAGGCCAAATTTGAATTTTATGGCACTAATGATATCCATAAACAGTTGAATATATGCCTCAACATTTCTATATGTTAAATATATATATACATATCTGGGGTTTTGCTTTTTCTTTTGTGTTTATTTTTTCTCTATTCTATATTTTGTCATATATCATTAAGAATTAATAATGATCATTGTAATAAATTATTTGTAATTCATGATACTGCTCTCTTAGGGCGTCCTTGATTGACAATAAAAATATTGTATTGTATTGTATAAGAGCCACTGCTCTGACAAGTGTTTGAAGCTCGTCTGAGTTGTCTCTCAAACTGGCCTGAGCTGTCTTTAAATGTGGTTCGAGTTGTTTTTTAGATTGGTCCGAGTTGTCTTGGTCCCATTTGCTTGTGGTGCGAGTTGTCCTGATTCCGGTAAGAATATGGTACGAGTTGACATATTCAAATCACGTGGTTCTTTGCGTTTGCTTTCAGCGGCACATAACTTATCCACACGTGTGACAAAGGAAATTCACAAATACATCATGGACTATGGAAATTACGGTGGAGGAAGAGGCAGAGGAGGAGTATGAATTTTTTCGCTCGATTTGATTTTAATCCCATATTCGAATTACTGGTATTGTACCAGTTATCGTCAGATAATCACCAGGTTTTCTTCACTTTGGTTTGATGAGCCTACAATCGAAATTTGAAATATTGTTATGATATGACTATGTATTAAGGGTTGCCAAGTGTTTGATATAATTCTATATAGTAGAAGGCTCTAATTTATCTCCTTTGTTAACTATAAATCGAGGGTCTGTCATTACGACATAAGTGTGTTAATTTTATTGACCGGCCATGTTGTTTGATAAACCTTGGGTGTCGGATCCGTTCGCTCCCAAAACACCTTCGCAACCTACATGTACACGTTCGCCCCTGGGTCCGTTCGCATCCTATTTTAATTCAAATACCGGTTGATGTTTTTTACTTTTAGAAGAATATATCAAAATATTTATATTTTTATGAATAAAAATTCGTGTATTTTTTTTAATGAAATACTTTTTTTGTGATTAATTATTAACAATAGGCCAGTTCAGGGATACCGTAGTTAGTTGAATCTGTCATGTGATTTCCATCACCATGTGACCAAAATGTAGGCATCGTTACTTCCAACACATGTTGAGTAAACGGGTGAAAGATTTTGATCTTATACTGCACAAAATATTTGGAAATTAAAATCTGATAATTTCGTCAGCCTCCCTTAAGTGGTACGGGAATGAAGATTACGTACTTACAGAACATAAATTAATTCTAAACTACCCTGCAGAATGACGATTCTTAAAGTGCTTGAAACTTTAATAGAGCAGGTATATAGGCGCGCCTTCTGTGTGGTAAATAACGTCATAAAGGCGTGCGAAATTGACGATATTTTCCGGTGAGACATGATTCTAGAAATGGCCTATTGTGATTTATGTAAGATTGCTGTTAATTCATAATTGGTATTTACAAAGCTAATTTGGTATTATATTCATGTGTTTGGTGTAAAGTAAAATACAAGTACTAAGTAGTTAGCTTGGTAGGAGTGAAACTGAAAACAATGAAGATTTTAAATGAAAAAAATAAAGATACATTGTAACAGCTTGTGACAAGTTTGATACATGTAGCTGTTTGGAATCTTCTGTCTTTCTTTAACAATCTTTGAGACGAATGACTTAGTCTTTGATCATGATAACAATATTCATTATTCATATCTTGGAAATAATCAGTCAGGAGAATGACTTAAATAAATGATTAAGAAGTCAATGATTCTGTTTGAAGTAAGTGTTGTTTTTCTTTAATAATCACCTATATAAGTAGTACAAATAAATCACTAGACTAAGTGATATAATTTTATTGCAGCTTTAAATATTAATTATAATGATCCAGGGACTAATTATGTTGCTAAAATTATCAGAACCAACCTCTGTGTTAATATGATGACCAGTCATGTCAGGTGATGACCTTGTACTGAATCTGGGATAATGACATGAAAATCACTTGTTTAAGAACCATACCTCTAGTTTGTTAAAAAAAATAATTTCTTTTAAGTTTTATTACACCCCAAAACAGTGAAATTTTGGTCGCAAACAGTAAAATTTTATTATAAAATCTGTAATATGAAACCTTGGTTTTTACAGGATAAAACTCCCACTGCTGGGAAAAATCTGTTAAGAAAGTATTAGATCATTATGTAAAGCATCATTATAGCATTTTTATGTCTCGCCGTAGTAGATAGGGCATTAATTTTTACCCTTGTCTGTCTGTACATGTACGTTCGTATGTCCCAAAATTGGTTTCCGATCTCTAACTTAAGTTTGCCTCAACCAAATGTTATGAAACATATATACACAATGCTTATTACCACAAAACACAGATCAAGTTCGAATTTTGGTGGTGTCACATTTACCGTTCTGGAGTTATGCCCCTTTACAAATGGCAAAATTGCTGAACTTTTCGTTTCCGTTTTCTAACTTTAGTTTGCCTCAACCAAATGTTATGAAACATATACACAATGCTTATTAACACAAAACACAGATCAAGTTCAAATTTTGGTGGTGTCACTTTTAGCTCTAGAATTATGCCCTTTTACAAATGGAAAAATTGCTGAAATATTCGTTTCTGTTCTCTAACTTTAGTTTGCCTCAACCAAATGTTTTGAAACTTATACACAATGCTTATTACCACAAAACACAGATCAAGTTTGAACTTTGGTGGTGTCACTTTTACCGTTCTAGAATCATGCCCTTTTACAAATGGAAAAATTGCAGAAATATTCATTTCTGTTCTCTAACTTTAGTTTGCCTCAACCAAATGTTATGAAACTTATACACAATGCTTATTACCACAAAACACAGATAAAGTTTGAATTTTGGTGATGTCACTTTTACCGTTCTGGAGTTATGCCCCTTTACAAATGGAAATGGCAAAATTGCTGAAATATTCGTTTCTGTTCACTCACTTTAGTTTGCCTTTTTAAGATTTTGACAGAATCAATAATCAGTTAGTTGGTAAAAATTAAAGATCTATCAGTAATAAAATTTTCAAAAAAATGTTTTAATTCTATGTATGCCCTGGATAATGTCTGATCTCTCAACTTGGAAAGTCGCATGAAATTTTGCTTAGGCACCAGACAATTTTAAATGTATATGAAAATACAACCCTTTTCCTAATTTTGTACTTTTTTGTGAATGTTTAGGGAAGAAGAGGATCAGGAAAGAAATTTGGTGAACCTGAAGATCCAGAGTCGGAGCAATTTAGAAAATTATTTATTGGTGGATTAAGTTACGAAACAGATGAGGAAGGACTCAAAGAACATTTTGGACAATGGGGAGAAATTGTAGATGTTGTTGTCATGAGAGATCCTCAGAGCAAGCGGTCAAGGGGCTTTGGTTTTGTAACTTTCAAAGAATCTCAAAATGTGGATGATTCACAGAATTGTCGACCACACAAACTAGATGGAAGAGAAGTCGAAACTAAAAGAGCTATGCGTAGAGAGGTATGTGTAATGTTTTTTTGTGAAATTTGTAAATGCAATGTATTATTAAGAAAATAGATATTGAATAAATGTAAATGAGACAGTACACCATATATTAAAACATGGAAGGCCATACAGAGATGTTTACATGTTGTTACTTACATTTGTAAATATGCATCATTTGAACTCTCAGTCTCGTGGACAGTCGTTTCATGTGCAATCCTACCACATCTCAATATTTTATATTTTACGTTTTGTAATATACTATCAAACAAAATTCATGTCTCATCATACATTTGTACTTCAGAATTAAATGGAGAAATACATTTAGCTTCCCCTGCAGATATATGAATGAGGAAAAAAACTTACAGCTAAAATTGATCTAAAAAACATTAAATATAAGTTATATACTGAAATGCCATAACATCTTTCTCTTGTGAGATTTTTGTTTGTAAATTGTTTGCAGATGGATAGTTGTCTAATTCCACATCATACTACATCAGCTAATATGAAGATTAATTGACAATGATCATGATGATATTCATTTGATCAAATAATTTTGATACTTAGATTACTATATTGTCAATTAATCATAACCCTTTCACTGATAGCCACCCTGACAGAAGACAATGCCTTCCCTAGCTATTCTGACACAAGTGAGACAACTTCATATTGAATATCAATAAAAACTTATCTGTAGTTATTTATGTCTTTATTTTATTCACTCGCTCCATGAACACAGTTTCCTTTATATTTTAAATAATTTTTTGTCAGAAAAAAATCAAATAGATCTGGTAATTTTTCGGCATTGAAATACATAAAATTCATGAAATTCATCTATCATGTCTATTCATGCTATATGACCCAAAATCGTAAATTTTTAACCCAAAAGTTTGAATATTTTTACGAGGTTACATGGTTGTACAAATTCCTTACACCGAATGATGTCCATTCCGAATGTTTCTGTACATAAAACGGCATTTTATGTCAAAATAGTATACTAGTCTGCTTTCAATTCTTCCAAATTCTTTCAGAAATAATGTTCCCTTATTACGAATTCCAGTATAATCCGTAAATTTCATTTGATTTTGACACAGTTTTCAACAAACGGTGGCCATGTTTATACTTTCATCCGGGCACTAAACAAATAAAGATAGCATACATGTATGTGTTCGCAATGTTTTTCAGTGGGAAATATAAAAGAGGTATGCCGATCCCGGGTAAAAGGGGACTCATCATCAGCTGTCTGAAGCGTGAATCCTATTAACCGGGGATTCGTTGGCGAAAGGGTTAATGTTATTCCATTTAATGAATAAGATGTTTCATAAATACTTATATATTAAAAAGTGCATTTGTAGAATAACTAGGCCAAAAAACAAATATGTGTGTTTATGCATATGGTTACCTTCATAAAAAAGACAGTTGGTCAGAATTTACAGAGAAAAAAATTGGGTTCACCAGAGGTAAAATCCTGTAGCACAAATAAAGAATTCATTCCCTTCAGTCCCCTCTTGTCTTGCTTTATCCTTTCACTGTGAACAAGTTTTCACAAGACTGCTATTTCATTCAGTGCACATACAAATTCTGAATTGATTTGTGCATACCATCCTGGTGACCTGCATTCACTGTATTTTAATGAGATTTGCCTCTTCATCCAATATACATGTATCATATGCAAAAGTTAATTTATGCATATGGTCTATATTAGGGATATCTACTTCTTCATTAATTATATCGTATTCAATGGTAGCCAACATATATATATATGTCACACCTATTTGTATAAATTAACTCCCATGATAGCAAGTACTGTCAGGAAATAGTGCTAGGTTGGAATATCTTGTTTAAAGTTAAAGTTTGTTGTTGAAAATGGTGGGTTGGTGGAAATAAAGTTTTCATTTGTGCTACAGGAGATGATTCATTTGAAATAAAAACATGAGTAATAAGAAAGAAAACACATTCATGGAGTAAAATTAATTAAGGAATAGAATGATGTATGATTATACCTGAAAATTGATCTAAAATGATTCTGAGACAAATATTTGTCACTCCAATTCTGGGTCTGCAATTCCATGTTTTCTATATGAACTCCACTCTGACATCCCATAGCCCCAGGAACTCCAAAACTCCATTCTGACATATATCACAGCCCCAGGAAGTCCAAAACTCCACTCTGACATCCAACAGCCCCAGGAAGTCCAAAACTCCACTCTGACATCCAACAGCCCCAGGAAGTCCAAAACTCCACTCTGACATCCCACAGCCCCAGGAAGTCCAAAACTCCACTCTGACATCCCACAGCCCCAGGAAGTCCAAAACTCCACTCTGACATCCCTCAGCCCCAGGAAGTCCAAAAAAGTGTGGAAGACATGGTAGCAATCTTGGATTAAGCTTAAGATACCAGGTGAGTGATAATACACATAATATAAGTAAATACATACTTTACTTATTGTTATTTTCAGATTGTATTAGTGAATTGTTCCGAATGATGACTTGTTATTTTGTTTTTATAGGACTCCAATGACCCAGACGTACAGCAGACATGTAAAAAACTTTTTATTGGAGGGATGAAAGATGGCACTGATGAACAAGATCTGCGTGATGTATTTGAACAATACGGATCTATTAAGGAAGTAAATGTACCAGTAGACAAAGCAACAGGCAAACTCAAAGGATTTGCCTTCATAGAATTTGAGGATTATGATCCTGTTGATAAATGTGTTTGTTAGTATGATTACATAGTATATCTGGTTCTGATCATAAAGTGATATCTTGTGTGAATAATATTGTGATGATAACTGATATAGAGGCTAAGTAATAATGCATTTTTTAGACAATTTGCAACAAAGTCCAGCTTGGCTTATAATATGCTGAATGTTAGGAGTCCATCTGTCTTTACATCAACATACCGTATAGAGGGTTATTTTCGCGGGTGAGAAATTTCGCAATTTTCATTGAATAAGGTATATGAAAAATTTTGGTGGTTATTATTTTGGCGGATTTAAAACTTTTATCAATACCTTTGCATGTGCCCTTTTAAATTGGCGGAATTTATTTTAGCAATTTTGTTCTATCTGCGAAAAATAAGCGAAAATTTACACCCCGCGAAAATAACCCCCTATACGGTATCAGTTTGCAGACAACATTTTTTAATCACTACACAGTATCTGTTCCAACTTTGTATGCCATAAATGCCACATGGGGTGAGGAAAACCGCTATTGTATTCTAAGTTAAATTTGTAAAAGAAACAGCAGCTAGTGATAGACAGTAATTTGGTCAAAATTTTGGTTTCTTGATTTAATCTTTTGAACAATATGTCAACCTGTACTTTAGTTGGATAGATAATGGCCAATGAGGTGAGGAAGACCCTCAAATATTTTGGGGTCATTAGATCAAAGGTCAATGTCACCACAGCTAATGATAGACTGAAACTGTCATCATTGAAAAATATGTATAATTTGTACCAAACTTGGTTTGATTACCTATCTATCATTGAGAGTACATATTCATATAATATATAGCACTTTCTTTTGTCTGAGTAGGCAAATAGGTTATAAAGATTTACTTCACAACTGAAACATTGTTATTTATAGTGATGAAATATTTTACTCTATCTGGGAAAAGTGTGGAAGTAAAAAAGGCAAAGAAAAAGGATGGTGAAGGAGGGGGTCGTGGTGGGGGAAGAGGTGGCGGCAGAGGAGGTAAGAAGGATTGTTTCATTTGGTAGTTTTCTGATCAGTTATGTCCCTTAGAAATGTCACATGTGGAAACAAAATGACAAACAATTCAAAACAAGAGTACTAACTGCCTGATTTATATACAAAATAATAAACAAAAAACAAATATATAATATACAGCTACCAACTGCAACCACTGAATTATTGGCTCCTGACTTGAGACAGGAACTCCTATATCTCAATAGTTTCCAAATAACATATTTGCTACAGTCAAGGGTCTTGCTTTTTTTATTGGTTCTTGACCCCAAAAAAGTGAATACATCATCTTTCCCCCTCAGATATATCAAACTCTTTGAACGAATACATTTGTCTTTCAAAAATATCCAGGTAACATTAATTCAAAGAAAACGACCAAACATAAATGTTTCACTTCAGATATTAAATGATTGAATTTGAAGCTGAGAAAAATCCACCCCATTATTTGATGTTGAGAAATAGATGAGAGATTTTTATTAGGTAAAACAAAATAAATCTCTTATGTTTCCATCCTTCGGAACAGGTTTTCCTTATCTTGTTATGTTGTCCTTTTTATGCCCTGCCTTCGATAGTAAGGGGGCATATTGTTTTCTGGTCCATGCGTCTGTCAGTCTTATCATTTGTCATGTGTCCAGTTAAAATATTAGGTTAATGTAGTTTACAATATAGGATGGTCAAATCAACTTGAAGTTCAGTAAACATGTTCAGTATGATGTGAATCTTTCAAATTTTATGCCAATATTTTTCTGTTTACTAATTACAATGCTTTAATTTCATGTTTATTTTCAGGTAGGGGAGGTCAAGGTGGTGGATATGGAGGTCAAAGTGGTGGATATGGAGGTCAAGGTAATTTTATTTGGTCATATAAGTGGTGCTCTGACAAACTAAAGGAACCATTATAAAGCAAAATAAAATGACATATGATATTATAACACATTCTGTTGATTTGTTCAAATGCTCTAGTTGTAAATGTTATTGATTCAGTATAAAGAAAACAATTCCAGATAAAATATTGGTTGAAAAATTGAGGCTATATAAGCAATCTGAATGCATGTAATATAGTACTTTTTATACGACCCCAAAATTTTTGCGGTCGTATATTGGTATGACGTTGGCGTTGTCGGCGTCGTCCGAAGACACATTGGTTTTCTAACTCTTAACTTTAGTTTAAGTGAATGGATCTCTATGAAATTTTACCATAAGGTTCAATACCACAAAAGGAAGGTTGGGATTGATTTTGGGGGTTATGGTACCAACAGTTAAGGAATTAGGGGCCAAAAATATGCATTTTTGTAACTTCCAGACATAACTTGTGTGTAAGTGTATGGATCTCTCTGACATTGTACCACAAAGTTCCATATCACAAAGGGAATGCTGGGATTGATTTTGGGGGTAATTGCCTCAAAATTTTAGGAAGTAGGGGCCAAAAAAGGGGCAAAAAACAAGCATTTTTCTAGTTTCATGATAATAATTTGTGTGTAAGTGTATGAATCTTTCTTAAATTGTACTAAAAGGTTCCATATCACAAAGGGAAAGCTAGAATTTAGTTTGGGGTAATTGCTCAAAACGTTTAGGAATTAGGGGCCAAAAAGGGGCCAAAAATAAGCATTTTTCTAGTTTCCAGACAATTGCTTGTGTTCAAGTGTATGGATCTCTCTGAAATTGTACTGCAAGGTACCATACCACAAAGGGAAGGCTGGGATTGATTTTGGGGGTAATTGCCTCAAAATTTTAGGAATTAGGGGTAAAAAAGGGGCAAAAAACAAGCATTTTTCTAGTTTCAGGACAATAACTTGTGTGTGAGTGTATGGATCTTTATGAAATTGTACTACAAGGTCCCATATCACAAAGGGAAAGCTGGGTTTGAGTTTGGGGGTAATTGCCCTAAACGTTTAGGAATTTGGGGCCTAAAAACAAGCATTTTTATACGACCGCAAAAAAATTTTTGTGGTCGTATATTGGTATGACGTTGGCGTCGTCCGGCGTCGTCGTCGTCGTCGTCTGGCGTCGTCCGAAGACACATTGGTTTTCGCACTCTAACTTTAGTTTAAGTGAATGGATCTTTATGAAATTTTACCACAAGGTTCAATACCACAAAAGGAAGGTTGGGATTGATTTTGGGGGTTATGGTAATAACAGTAAAGGAAAAAGGGGCCAAAAATAAGCATATTTGTAACTTCCAGACATAACTTGTGTGTTAGTGTATGGATCTCTCTGACATTGTACCACAAGGTTCCATATCACTAAAGGAATGCTGGGATTGATTTTGGGGGTAATTGCCTCCAAATTTTAGGAATTAGGGGCCAAAAAAGGGGCAAAAAACAAGCATTTTTCTAGTTTCATGACAATAACTTGTGTGTAAGTGTATGGATCTTTCTGAAATTGTACTACAAGGTTCCATATCACAAAGGGAAAGCTGGGTTTGAGTTTGGGGGTAATTGCCCTAATCGTTTAGGAATTTGGGGCCAAAAAGGGGCCAAAAAACACATTTTTTTCTAGTTTCCAGACAATAACTTGTGTTCAAGTGTATGGATCTCTCTGAAATTGTACTGCAAGGTACCATACCACAAAGGGAAGGCTGGGATTGAGTTTGGGGGTGATGAATCATAATGGGGGTTCAAAAAATTTTAGGGGGGGGATTTATTTTTTTTTCCTTTTTTTTCTTTTTTTCCTTTTCTGTTTCTTTTAAAATTTTCCATTTTAAGTTGGTTATTTCTGATTTATATTTAAAATCAAATAATAATGATATGGTAGGAGATACACACCAAACAGGATGTGTAAATTATTATATAATAAGTATTGTGCAATAGCAAGAAATTTTCAATTGCACAGTATTGCACAATAGCAAGAAATCTTCAATTGCACAGTATTGCGCAATAGCAAGAAATCTTCAATTGCACAGTATTGCGCAATAGCAAGAAATATCCAATAGCACAATATTGCGCAATAGCAAGAAATTGTCAATTGTACAGTATTGCGCAATAGCAAGAAATATTTAATAGCACAGGATTGTGCAAAAGAAGATACTTCCTATAAATTGCTTATTTCTTGACCAATTTCAATGGGGTTTTATTCTTGATTTCATGGGGTTCTTTAATATGCTGAATCTAACCGTGTATTTAGTTTTTGGATTTTGGGCCCCGTTTTTAAATTGGTCCACATTGAGGTCCAAAGGGTCCAAAATTAAACTTTGTTTGATTTCATCAAAAATTGAATTATTGGGGTTCTTTGATATGCCGAATCTAACTGTGTATTTAGATTCTTAAATTTTGGTTCCGTTTTCAAATTGGTCTACATTAAGGTCCAAAGGGTCCAAAATTAAACTTAGTTTGATTTTAACAAAAATTGAATTCTTAGGGTTCTTTGATATGCTGAATCTAAACATGTATTTAGATTTTTGATTATGGGCCCAGTTTTCAAGTTGGTCCAAATCGGGGTCCAAAATTAAACTTTGTTTGATTTCAACAAAAATTGAATATATGGGGTTCTTTGATATGCTGAATCAAACCATGTATTTAGATTTTTGATTTTTGGGCCCCGTTATCAACTTTGTCCACATTGAGGTCAAAAGGGTCCAAAATTAAACTTTGTTTGATTTCATCAAAAATTGAATTATTGGGGTTCTTTGATATGCCGAATCTAACCGTGTATTTAGATTCTTAATTTTTGGTTCCGTTTTCAAATTGGTCTACATTAAGGTCCAAAGGGTCCAAAATTAAACTTAGTTTGATTTTAACAAAAATTGAATTCTTAGGGTTCTTTGATATGCTGAATCTAAACATGTATTTAGATTTTTGATTATGGGCCCAGTTTTCAAGTTGGTCCAAATCGGGGTCCAAAATTAAACTTTGTTTGATTTCAACAAAAATTGAATATATGGGGTTCTTTGATATGCTGAATCTAACCATGTATTTAGATTTTTTGATTTTTGGGCCCCGTTATCAACTTTGTCCACATTGAGGTCAAAAGGGTCCAAAATTAAACTTTGTTTGATTTCATCAAAAATTGAATTATTGGGGTTCTTTGATATGCCGAATCTAACCGTGTATTTAGATTCTTAATTTTTGGTTCCGTTTTCAAATTGGTCTACATTAAGGTCCAAAGGGTCCAAAATTAAACTTAGTTTGATTTTAACAAAAATTGAATTCTTAGTGTTCTTTGATATGCTGAATCTAAACATGTATTTAGATTTTTGATTATGGGCCCAGTTTTCAAGTTGGTCCAAATCGGGGTCCAAAATTAAACTTTGTTTGATTTCAACAAAAATTGAATATATGGGGTTCTTTGATATGCTGAATCTAACCATGTATTTAGATTTTTGATTTTTGGGCCCCGTTATCAACTTTGTCCACATTGAGGTCAAAAGGGTCCAAAATTAAACTTTGTTTGATTTCATCAAAAATTGAATTATTGGGGTTCTTTGATATGCCGAATCTAACTGTGTATTTAGATTCTTAATTTTTGGTTCCGTTTTCAAATTGGTCTACATTAAGGTCCAAAGGGTCCAAAATTAAACTTAGTTTGATTTTAACAAAAATTGAATTCTTAGGGTTCTTTGATATGCTGAATCTAAACATGTATTTAGATTTTTGATTATGGGCCCAGTTTTCAAGTTGGTCCAAATCGGGGTCCAAAATTAAACTTTGTTTGATTTCAACAAAAATTGAATATATGGGGTTCTTTGATATGCTGAATCTAACCATGTATTTAGATTTTTGATTTTTGGGCCCCGTTATCAACTTTGTCCACATTGAGGTCAAAAGGGTCCAAAATTAAACTTTGTTTGATTTCATCAAAAATTGAATTCTTGGGGTACTTTGATATGCTGAATCTAACCATGTATTTAGATTTTGGATATTGGACCATAATAGGTGAATGTCCAATTTAAAATTTTTAAGTTCTTAGACCACATTCAATCTGTGTTAGAAACCTATGCTGTGTCAAATATTTAATCACAATCCAAATCCAAAGCTGTATCAAGCTTGAATGTTGTGTCCATACTTCCCCCAACTGTTCAGGGTTCGACCTCTGCGGTCGTATCAAGCTGCGCCCTGCGGAGCATTTTATTCTAGTTTCCAGACAATAACTTGTGTTCAAGTGTATGGATCTCTCTGAAATTGTACTGCAAGGTACCATACCACAAAGGGAAGGCTGGGATTGAGTTTGGGGGTGATGAATCATAAGGGGGTTCAAAAAATTTGGGGGAGGGATTTTTTTTTTCTTTATCATTTTTCATTTTAAATTGGTTATTTCTGATTTATATATAAAAGCAAATAATAATGATATGGTTTGAATAGGTAAATTAAAATTTTTTAAGTTCTTAGACCACATTCATTCTGTGTCAGAAACCTATGCTGTGTCAAATATTTAATCACAATCCAAATTCAGTGCTGTATCAAGCTTGAATGTTGTGTCCATACTTGCCCCAACTGTTCAGAGTTCGACCTCCGCGGTCGTATCAAGCTGCGCCCAGCGGAGCATTTTATTAAATTATGTGCTCTGTGCTTAAAAATGTGCTGTATCAGTTGCTTTCTTATCAAACTCACAAAATTTGCATTTAATTCGAAAATATGAATAAATATTATTTTATAGCCTAATTAAATTTTTATCATGTTTATTATCAATATAATTATTTCTATTTGAAAATATTCTTCACATATTGATGTAATCATGTTCTTTTAATTAGTAACCAGTTTTCATATGGTATGAACATTTTGACTTCACAATACATGACATGTTTTAGCCAATAGAATATACAGATTACATCAAAGGACGACCTACCATCAATATATCATTGAGTAAGATAAAAGCACAAGTATGTATTTTATTAGCAGGAGGCTACCAGAGCTATGGCGGTGGTTATGGTGGAGGTTATGACGATGGTAGTGGTGGTTACAACCAAAGTAGTACATATAACCAAGGTTACAGTGATGGTGGATACAGTGCGGGTGGATATGGTGGTGGATATGGAGGTGGACAAGGTATGCACACAAGACATCAATAGTTATGTCAAAACTGTGCATCGCTGGAATGACCAGTCAACTCATTACAATAACAGAGTAAACAGACTTGACAGTCTTCTCAAATTTGTAACAAGTGGTTTGTTTCAAACAGTTTTAACAGCCATTTTAATTTGCCAACAGGTAAACAAAATACACATTTATTTAATGTATTGCGTATTATATTACAGGGGGAGGTGACTATAATCAACAGTTTGGACAAAGTTACACAGGGAATTCTGGTGGAGGACCAATGAGGGGACAGTATGGTAACAAACGAGGAGGCGGAGGAGGAGGACCTTATCAGAGTAATAATTATGTTTTTGGAAGCATTATCATTATTCAGTGAAATTATTAATTCTATAGACTCGCACACACATACATGCATGTTATGAATGAATAAATAGTAATGTGGCTCTCACAAAACAAAAACCTTAGGGTAAATATTGATGGTTAATTATTTTGAATCTACATGATTTATGAGTGTTATTTCTTCAAAGATTTTTTGTGAAAACAGACGCAGGTATTTATTTTTGTTCTTTTTTACACCAACTTTTTCATTACAGGTGGAGGAAGAGGTAGAGGCGGTTACAACAGATAAATCATACTCAACAATTTTTAGGTAATGTCTCAGGTTAAAGACAATAATCAGGGATTGTTTAAAATGAAAGAAGGGGATACATTTAATACTGTTTGTCAAAACAATTGTATTAAGCAACTATATTTGACCTGTACTACAGACAAACCTATTTTAAAAAAGTTAATGTGCAGTTTTAAAATTTTTTAATGCCCCCGACATCACAGAGGGGGCATTAAGTTTTACCCTTGTCCATCTGTACGTCCAAAAGTTGGTTTCCATTCTCTAACTTTAGTCTGCCTCAACCAAATGTTATGAAACTTATACACAATGCTAAATACCACAAAACACTGATCAAGTTTGAATTTTGGTGGATCACTTTAACCATTCTAGAGTTATGCCACTTTACAAATGGAAAAATTGCTGAATTTTTCGTTTCTGTTCTCTTAAGTTAGCCTCAACCAAATGTTATGAAACTTATACACAATGCTTATTACTACAAAACTCAGATCAAATTTTTAATTTTGGGGTGTCAATTTTACTGTCCTAGAGTTATGCCACTTTACTTTTTCGTTTCTGTTCTCTTTACTTAAGTTAGCCTCAACCTAATGTTATGAAACTTATACACAATACTTATTACCACAAAACTCAGATCAAGTACAAATTTGGGTAGTGTCACTTTTACCTTTTTCAGTTATGTCCCTTTATAACTTTATATGATATGCAAGCGGGGGCATCATTTGTGTCCCATGGACACATTCCCCATTTATTATTACATAATCACATCTGATGAGAAATTTTAGCATGGCAATTTATCAAAAGCAGAATAAAATTGCAGAAGATAATGAAGGATGAGGATTTTGTCAAAAAGAATGAATCTATAACCATAGAAAAGAAGGGTACTGTCTTAGTTATGATAGCTATGTATGTTACCCTTGTTCAATGGTCATGACATGATCAGTTTCAAGCTGTTTGACTTTTAATTGGCTGGAAACAAGAACTGTTCTAATAGATGTTTTGTATTGACTTAGAATCCCTAGATATTAAAGTTATAGTAATTCATCATTTAAAACATACAAATAATTATATACAGCATGGGATTAAAAAGGAGGCACAATAGAATTTTTTTAATATTTGAATTTGATTCAACTTTAAAAAAGAATATGTGTTTCAGGTTTCATATTAAACTTTAGCTAGCTAGGTAGGTAGGGGAAATTAATAATCATAAACAAAAATGTTGCTTATATTGTATAGCACAACATGGCTTGAAGGGAAAAAACCTGAAACATTTTTCTTTTGATCCAACTCAATGCTTAGACAAAATGAACATTAAATAATCTAGAAATATTAAATGTTGTTAAATGTATGCTGTTAAGCATGAAGACTGAAATTGTCTTGTGTAAAATAAGACTTGGTTTCAAATGTCCAAATAACTTATGATGGTTTAGTGTTTTATAATTCACTGTAAATTAAAAATGTCAGTATAATTATTGCATTCATTAATAATATTTACTCTTGATTACATTAGGCAGGTATATAGAGACTAGGCAAGAAGTAGGACACAACCACTGTAGGCATCCCCTTGTTAGGCAAGGATTAGGATATTCAACATGTGCTCATTAATATTATCATATTAGGTGATGACTACAGTATTCAACTAGATTTCATAAGCATCCCCATTTTAGGCGATGACTATGTTGTTCAGCAAGTGTCCATAGGCATCCCAGTGTTAGGTAGATGCTAAGAGATAATAGTGAACATCTTCAATGCCATAAATACAAGGATTATATATTCAACATTTGGTCTATTTCAACGTATTTAAGACTGATATTCATAGAGTAGCTGTAGGATATCAAAACACTATGGATTTATATACCTGTGTAAAAATTGCCAATACCTGACAATCTGATTGTCAGTTTTAATGTATTATCCTGTGATAAATGTTGTGTGTCTCGTAACAGAAAGTTACAACTTTTTTAATGATCATGTCAACCATCTGTTAATAGTTTACTGTCATCAATTAAAAATATTTTAGAAGTATCCATATTTTTTCAGTGTTAGATTGTATTCCTTTGTAATTTTATGCCCAGCACTGATTAGCACTGATTACTTTCAATTAAGACAAAGTAGAGATATTGCTGTCTGTGTTTCAGGGATTTTTCTGGGGTACTTTTTTTTATATTATAAATATTTATATTTAAATGTGGTTTTTCAGTTGTTTTATTTGATGCACTGGGACTATCTTTCTGTTGTTTCTAATTCTTTCAGTGTATTGTTAGTGTTTTAGTTTCTTAAGCGTGTTTATGAACGCACCTCTACACTCCACTTGTTAAGCCCCAAAAGTTCAGCTGCATGTTTGGCACTTATAAACCTACCTCATACAGATCCTTTTCATTGAGGTCACTTTGACTTATAATTGAGGCTTGAATGACTTTTTGAGGTCTAGATAGCCTCTTTGGTACCTATTGTATTATGAAGCCTATATTTCACCATTACAATCCCCTTGTTAATTCCAGTTTGTTTTGGAAATATGAATGACAATGATGTTCATTTAACCCTCAAGTGACTTTTGTCAGATATAATTTAGGTTCATTGGTCAGAGGCACATAATATATCAATGATTATTTTAAACTAAAGGGTTCATTAGATCATCAAAAACATTTGATTAATGGGTCCAGTACATCTGTTTGGTTACTGAAGTGGACATTACATGTCTTGGCATTAACCATGTCAGATATAGATTTAAACATACTCTGATCAGTTGCTCTATCCAGCCATTCTGAATTTAGGGTATTTTCTATTGATGCCTTACCAGTTACTCAGATAATCTTTTGACCAATTAACCGGTAGTTAAGTTGGTGTTAAAAGGCATTATCAATAGTACCCTACGTATTTATGATACGATAAATTGAAATTTATTCTTGGGCATGGCTATGCTTTGACCATTTCTGGTGAAGTTTTACTTTTAATAATTCGATTCTACCGTATCTACTATGAAGTTTGTAATAACTTTAGATTGAGAAGATGAAAATCTTCTTGATCTCGTCGAATTGACAATGTCTGAAACTGTCGATTGTTTCATTTTCTCTGGTGTCTCAGAAAATAATGTGGAATGTTTCAACTTGAGATGATTAAGCGCGTTACTCGTACCATACATAAATCGATTTGCATTTCACCATTTTTGAGTCGGCATTTCATTTAAAGTATGACAAAACCTTGGACGTTGGAGGTGACATATTTACATGTAGGTCTACGCAATATTGAATCAAAAATGAAATAATTAAGTAAATATTAAGTAAATCGTAAAAAGTAAACAGCTTACAACTGTTCAAAATACATATATGCTAATTATGTTTCCTTAAGATTTTGCTCCACTGATCGCAAGTTGTCTTAGTGCTAATTAATTTTGTAAAATTAGAATGTTTTCAGTTTGTTTCACACAAATATAAAAAAGGGTGCAAAAGTGGTTCCTATCCAAGGGAGAATATTAATTCCATGAAGTGATTGCACAATGACTGGAATATTTTTTTATGAACTCAAATGGAGCGGTCATATAAAACAAAAAGCTCCCAACATTGTTGTACTTAAATAAATCTATCAACAACCTCATTAAAATTGAAATTCATTCAAATGTAACATGGAGAAGCGCTAGATCTTTGGTGACATTGTAATGAAAAGGTTTCACATTCTCATATGAAAAATCACTTCTGACATAAAAATAAAACCACTAACATGGTTCCAGATTTGTTACATGCACATAAACATAAGGCTAAGAAAAAGCAGTCTTTTTGGGAACTCTTCTGCATTTTTTTGTGAGCAGTGGAGTAACACATGGTACATAAAAAATATTCAAAATTAAGTTCAGAAAAATGCATTCTACTTTATGATATTGGTATTACAAATAGAAACATTTGAAGATATATCTATGAAGATTCGTCCAAAAAATGTAATCCTAGAAGAACTTAAACTGCTGATTCAGATAATGCTTTCTTGTATTCCAATATTGGTAATTGTACATTCAATAGCATATATATGGTGATGAAAAACGAGAATTTGTGTAAACAGAATTATATCTGTAAATCATGTAAATGTCAGGAAACTAAAGCAGCTAATTCTTTACAGTTCCTGAATAATTAATGCTGCTTTAATAGGGTAGTAAATGTTGATTCACTTCTGATAACTCTGATGGGATTTATTTTACCTCAATTTGTTGAATAAACTTTAGATTTGTGTGTGATACTAATTAACATTGGGATTTGGGCTTTGTACATAACGTGAGATTTCAAAAACTCCTCTAGAAGGGTACAAAGCCCTCAATGCTCAGAACAGGACCTCAGTAGTCTGTAGGGATAATTCATCACCAAGATCGTAGAGCTTCTGCTGAATATCATATAATAGGGACTTCCGTAACAATTACATGAAGATCAAATGAAGACATCTAGGGTTCAAGATAACAGATCAATTAGCAATAAATAGGTTCCTTCAGATAGGTAAGGTAGGTTCATATTTGATGTAGTTATATGCATATCTTGTATTGTCTTGGTTTTGATACCTGTCACTAACAACAAAGTTATAAACATGAAAATTTTATAAGAATTTGACAAAAGAAAGGAAATATTTATAAAACCAAAGCCCGTTTTTACCTGATATATACAAATATAGTTTTAAATTATGATTAGAAAAGTATTGATTTCACAGATTAAAATTTTAATTTCAATCATGATTCAGTCATACCCCTCCATTGCTTTAAAAATGCTCATTCACCCAGACACTGACTTTGATCATGCTCATTTAAAAAACATAAATAGGTTTTTGGTTTACTCTTTGGTAAAATATTTTTTTAAAGTAAATACCTTAAATATGGTCAACAGGTGTCAAAAAGCAGATTAATATGTTAACCTATAAAGCATGTACATTCAATAATTCGAGATTTAATTACATGCTGTGTAATAGTGTTCAAGATTTATGCTTCATGATTTTGTGATAAAAAATATCTCATACTTTTAATTTCTGAGTCTTATTTTATACCTTTTATTCTGAAAGTTCCTATATTGTATTTATTTTGTAATATCCAGTTTGTATTCTTTAATCAAGACCTATCAGAATTCAGAAACTAAGTTTAAGATAATGAAATCTGGTATTCTATATGGGAAACATCAAATTGAAATTAAAAAAAAAAGATTTTTAATTTAGTTAAATTAAAAAAAGATTTCAAAGACTTTCAGTTATAAAAGTCATGCTGAAGAATTATAACAGTGTAACATTTGTGAGTTTCAAAATTATGATCATAAATTTGAAATATATTTAAAGTATCTTAATTGCCTTGTTTTTGATAAGAAATAGGCTATTGCAATAGAATGACACCAAAATGTATCTTGATATTCAAATTTTGATGCAAATTCTTACAAAACATAAAATCTTTATACTCACTTAAAAGTTTTGACTTTGCATTCATCAGTGTTAAAAAAAATATGAAATGCAATTAAAGAATCCTTTAAATCAGGCTTGTTTATGACATTTATATTAATTTGTCGATTTAAAATCAAGTTTTTCTTTGTCAGTGTTAAAAAATCAGAGAAATCATTAATTGAATTTGAGATTTATTTGTGTTTTTTTTTTTTTTGGTCTTTTGAGACTAATCTGCCTTTTTAATTGATTTATAAGTAATTTTTCATTGCGGAGTCAAAAGATTGAGTTACAAAAGGTGCAATATCACTTGCTGATTAGTAATATTTTATAATCTGACTGAGGTAACAGAAAAAAACTTCAAATTGTCCTGATACAAAAGAGCAGTTTGTTCAAAATCAACTAACTTTTTTCTGTATGGAGATTATCATTAATATATATATATATATGTATATAGATTGAAGTTTTACAAACAAAGGTAGCATTTTGTATTACCAACAGTTGCTCAAATTCAAACACAAGCAAATGAGATTTCAGTACAAGTCTTTTATGTTCTAAATAGTGAAAGCATTAAATAAAAACTTCCATTTCAACTGAAAGATTCAAATTGATTTTCAGCTTTGTTTATTCAGATGTTAAAACAATGCATTTCTCAGCAAATTAGTTGTTTAGTCTATGCATTTGCTAATTTTGAAATGATATTTGTTTTAGGATGTACAGAATGACATTCTATTGAAATATGGAAGACCTGTTATAGCATAAAGATGTCTTTAGAGCAAAATGTAAGTTTTTTCAGCTGTAGAATGAGCCTTGAAAGTGATTGTGCACTATAAATAAGTGAAATGAGCAGAACAGTAACAAGTATTTCAGAATAAAATTACTATGAAACATTTAACTGTATTATGTAAATTCAGAAATTATTGTGTGCATTTATTATTACGATTTTGTCATTTTAGACTAAAATGATTTTATTTTTTGCGATATTGAGAAAAATCCTGTGTAGGCCACACCAAATTAATTTCTAGTTCTTCAGACTCTTTCCTTTGAAAAAGGTTAGCGAGCGAGCAAAATTTTGTTTTTTTTTTTTTTTTTTTCAAAATTGGATTTTTTACTAGTGAGCACTATTATCTTTTGAAATATTAAAAAAATAAAATCTATGAAAAGCATTTTATTCAAGCGAGCGATCAGAAATTTACAGTTTTGGTGTTACATGTTTTCATATATCTCTTTTCCTAGTTCTTATATTACCCTACTTTCTTCTCAATTTGTTCTCTGACACACTGTTGAATCTTTTCACAACATTTCCAGTACAAATATGGTTAATTAGTAGCAAAACCTACAGCCTCGTGTAGTCTGCTCAAATAAAGATCCTGCCTGAACATGAAAAAGTGCAACAGCTTTGAACAGGTAGACATCCATGTTTGATGTAAGTTATAATTGATGTATTATAAAAATAAGGAAATGTGGTATGATTGCCAGTGAGACAACTATCCAACAAAGTTCAAATGAAGTGGATGTATGCAATTATAGGCAACCGTACAGCCTTCAACAATGAGAAAACCCATACAGTACAGTTGGCTATTAAAGTCCCAGACATGAAAAATATGAAACAAATCAATTGAGAAAACTAACGGCCTAACTTATATCAAAACAGTTTACAAAAAAAACAAATATGACAGACAAGAACCAACCACAATCAGTGAACTACAAGCTCCTGACTTGGTATAGGCACATATAGAATGGTATGTTGCTTAAATAAAGGTATGCAAAGCATATATGCATGTATAAAGCTTTTATATAAAACTATACATATTTGTGTATACAACAAGCTGAAAATTTATAAAGGACTGTCCTTTAAAAACCACACCAATTTATACTACTTATTATTCAAATGCATCACATCAGATGCTATAATCCTTTTGTTAACTGGATTTTCGAAGGAAATATCGGTTATTGATTTGGGGATGTATGGTGGGCAGGCGCGTGGGCAGACAGGCGGCTGCCAAACAGTGTCTCTTCAATAACATGAAAACGCTGTGATGATTTTTTTTCAAATTTAGATATGTTGTTTCTTGTGACTAAATAAAGGTCAAGTTCAATTTTCACGATTTTAGTTTTCTCCTTTTTGAGTTATTGCCATTTTTGTCTCGCCTTGACAGAGTCAAAAAGCGAGACATAGGTATGTTGTTTCCGGCGGCAGGGGCGTCAACAATGTATTAGTTTGTGATTAGGTCTAGTTCATGGTGAACCACTAGTGGTAGGTCAATGATATTTGGTATGCAGTTGTATTAGCATTGGCACATCTCATTACCATGGAGATTATTTGGCCCTGCCCCCTCAGTCAAGGTCTATTGACTTTGAAACTTTGCTTAGTTTACATGTATTAGTTTGTGATTAGGTCAGTTTATGGGGAACCACTAGTGGTAGGTCAATGATATTTGGTATGCAGTTGTACTAACAATGGCACATCTCATTACCATGGAGATTATTTAGCCCTGCCCCCTCAATCAAGGTCTATTGACTTTGAAACTTTGCTTAGTTTACATGTATTAGTTTGTGATTAGGTCAGTTTAAGGGGAACCACTAGTGGTACATTGTAGGTCAATGATATTTGGTATGCAGTTGTATAAGCATTGTCATATCTCATTTCCATGGAGATTATTTGGCCCTGCCCCCTCATTCATGGTCTATTGACTTTGAAACTTTTGCTTAGTTTTCATGTATTAGTTTGTGATTAGGTCAGTTTAAGGGTAACTGTTAGTGGTAGGTCAATGATAATTGGTATGCAGTTGTATAAGCATTGGCACATCTCATTTCCATGGAGAATATTTGGTCCTTACCCCTCAGTCATGGCCTATTGACTTTGAAACTTTTGCTTAGTTTACATGTATTGGTTTGTGATTAGGTCAGTTCAAGATGAACCACTAATGTTAGGTCAAATATATTCAGTATGCAAATGTATTGGAATTTGCAAGTTTCATTTCCATGGAGATTATATAACCCCACCCCCTAATTATGGTTCATTGACTTTGAAACTTTTACATAGTTTACAAGTTAATGTTTGTGTTTAGGTTTGTTTAAAGGGAACGACTTATGAAAAGTCAATAATATTTGGTTTGCAGTTGTATTAGCATTGGCACATCTCATTTCCATGGAGATTGTTTAGCCCTGTACCTTCAGTCATGGTTCATTGACTTTGAATATTTGCATAACTTACATGTTAAAGTATTGCTATTTTAATTTCAACATTTGCATTATCAAAATAACAAATAGGCGAGACATATCTCTGTGTTAACAGTTTATTAATATCCAAAAGTGGTATTTTTAAATATTTTTCTCTTGTTATCATATTATGACTAAGCATAGTAAATGTCTTACCTCAAAATTAGAATTGGAGTGACAGATTTACCATACCACAAAGGGAAGGCTGGGATTGATTTTGGGGGTAATTGCCTCAAAATTTTAGGAATTAGGGGCCAAAAAGGGCAAAAAACAAGCATTTTTCAGGACAATAACTTGTGTGTAAGTGTATGGATCTTTATGAATATGTACTACAAGGTTTCATATCACAAAGGGAAAGCTGGGTTTGAGTTTGGGGGTAATTGCCCTAAACGTTTGGGAATTTGGGGCCAAAAAGGGGCAAAAAAAACAAGCATTTTTCTAGTTTCCAGACAATAACTTGTGTTCAAGTGTATGGATCTCTCTAAAATTGTACTGCAAGGTACCATACCACAAAGGGAAGGCTGGAATTGAGTTTGGGGGGTGATAAATCATAAGGGGGTTCAAAAAATTTTGGGGGGGGTTTTTCCTTCTTTTTTTTTTTCCTTTTTTTTTTTTTTCCTTTTTTTTTCTTTAAATTTCAAATTTTAAGTTGTTTATTTCTGATTTATATATAAAAGCAAATAATAATGATATGGTTTGAATAGGTAAATTAAAATTTTTTAAGTTCCTAGACCACATTCATTTTGTGTCAGAAACCTATGCTGTATCAAATATTTAATCACAATCCAAATTCAGAGCTGTATCAAGCTTGAATGTTGTGTCCATACTTGCCCCAACTGTTCAGGGTTCGACCTCTTCGGTTGTATCAAGCTGCGCCCAGCGGAGCATTTTATTTTTTGATGAAGTGAACTCCTTTAAAAACTAAGCTTATATTGTTTATTAATAAACATATATTTAGATTTCTGATTTTGGACCCAGTTTTCAAGTTGGGTCAAAATCGGGGTCCAAAATTAAACTGTGTTTGATTTCAACATAAATTGCATAAATATAGGGTTCTTTGAAATGCTTAATCTAAACCTGTATTTCTTTTCATTATTAATAAGATAATACCACATTGAGGTCCAAAGGGTCCTAAATTAAACTTTTGTTTAATTTCATAAAAAATTGAATTCTTTGGTTCTTTGATATGCTGATTCTAACACTGTTTGAGTGTTAAATCATATCTAATTTTAGAGAACTTAGTCATCACTGGTTGTTGTTATTATATTATTGATTATAATTTGAAAAATTGCATCATATCTTATTTTAGAAAAATTTTATCCAGTTTGAGTTATTTCCCTTTGCACAGAAAATATTATGGATAAAATTAACCTGTGTTTCATTTCAACATAAATTAAATATATATAGGGTTCATTCAAATGCTGAATCTAAACCTGTATTTAAATATTAGATTTTTGGGCCCAGTTTTCAAGTTGGTCCAAAATTAAACTTTGTTTGATTCAACAAAAATTGAATTTATGGGGTTCTTTGAAATGCTGAATCTAACCATGTATTGAGAGATTTTGGATTGTGGTCTCCTTTATCAAATTGGTCCACATTGAGGTCCAAAGAGTCCATAAACTTTTGTCTGATTTCATCAAAAATTGAATTCTTGGGTTTCTTTGATATGCTGATTCTAATATGTACTTAGATTTTGGATATTGGACCATAATAGGTAAATGTCCAATTTCAAATATTTCAATTCTTTGACCACATTCATTTTGTGTCACAAACCTATGCTGTATCAAATATTCAATCACAATCCAAATTCAGAGCTGGTTTAAGCTTAAATGTAGTGTCCATACTTGCTCAACTGTTCAGGGTTTGACCCCTGCAGGAAAATCCAGTTTGCTGTCACTCTGACAGCCTCTTGTTTAGTTAATATATTACAATTATTAGAACATTTCTATACATTCCGCTTAGTCATTGCTTTGCTGAAGAATTTAATAGCAATCAAATCTTTATATATATGGGGATATTGCTCTGTGTTGAAGGCCTTACAGTTAATGTTACTGGTTGCAAACCTCAACAAATTTGGTCTCTGGTGGAAGTTTGTCTCATTGACGATCATACAAATTCTTATTTTTAGAAGATTTTGTAAATTGAAAAGTTGGATTGATGTGTTATATTCAATTTTACCACACAAACTTTCTTGTCAAATTCCATGCTTTATAACTTTGTAATGATACTAGCAAATATATATAAAAGATAAAAAAAAGTAAAAAATATAATAGTTTCATTTGCCTTGACATTTCAAATTATGCATGTACCATCATCTTCTGGATTTTCTTTTATTCTTATGCATGTTATATTGTCATAATTTGATCTTTCAATTCGGTGGTATGGTTGCTTTGAAGTCTTGCACGGAGCACTTCAAACAAATCGATAAAATAATAGTCCAAATCACATTCCACTGCTGTCTTTGGCAGTAAGGTCTTTGCCTGCGTTACCACTGTAACTACTACAAATATTCCACTCATGTCATACGTTTAGAATGAATATCATATATATCTTGTGATGAGCCGATGTAGATATATTATATTTGACCATAAAAACGTTGTGCATTGTAGATCTAGATCATTTTTATATGTCAATTTCTGTGTCTGTAAGGCGTTACTTTCAAAAATTTTTCTTACTTAAATTTAGAGACAGACGCGCACGGCCCCGTACTGGAGGCGGGTTTTTTAAAAAGTACTTTTTATACGCGGGGGATCCAACGAATGAGGTATTAATTTGGCGTGGCCTTAATTCATATAAAATATTTCAAAATGCGAGTTTAAATTATTGTGATTATAACCCTGTCACATTTTTCGCAATAATAAAAACAGGGCAATAATTTCTGAATTTACAGTATGAACGAGACAACAACCACAATCTATAGGTCAACAACCAGTATTCAACAATAGACAGATACCTGAACATTATGTCGAGCTCTTTATTGCCCTTAGTCTAGAAATATCAACCAAGAATAATGAAAAAGAGAGACTAAAGATACAAAAGGGACATCCAAACTTGTAAGTTTGAAGATTTTCCATTATTACCAGTAACAAAATATCATAACATAATTATTAATGAGGTTCCTGACTTGAGACTTGCTCTTTTAACATGTTGAACATCATTCAGTTTGAATAACATTATGTGCATGAAATAGTACTACAAAAGTTATAACAGCAAACTCTAAAATACAGTTATAATAGATAATATAATCTCAGGGACAAGCAAATAAATAATATACATTTATTTCCCGTGCCGGAGGGAGATATGAAGATTTGTTCACCCAAGAATATTCATATTTCACGAGGGCTCTGCCCGAGGGAAATATGATTTTTCGAGGGTGAGCAAATCTTCATATCTCCCGAGGCAAAGGGAAATGAATGTTTTATTCCACTGCCTATGCTTTGTTTACTATCAATACATTAAATATTATTTTGCATACATTTTTTTTCTTATCCGCTTGTTTTTGTAAATCAAACTAAACACGACATACCCATTGATAAACAGTAAGGATCAAAATTTAATTATAAGTCTTTTTGTTTTATCGTCTGAAATAAATTTGAACATGATAATGATTTTTGCTATCGCTATTTTAAGAAGAATAAGAAGTTCAAAACGTTATGTACAATAACCGCGCGTAACGTCGCACCAAGTAATCCCGACATTTCAGAGGGGAATATGATCCTCAGAATGGAATATGAAGATTTGTTCAATGACACGTGGGATAGTCTCAACCAATCAAATATTGATTAAACTATCAATAAACCTTACATCATCAAAGAAAGCAAGCTTTAAAGAACTTGAGCTGGTGAATTGATATCATGCCTTTCTATTGTTTAATATTGTTGATGATGATGGATGGCTGATAAACATTCAAATTGAATGCATGAATGAGAACATACTGATGTGATATGAAAATACACCCTACTTTAAACTAGACAGACACGCTGATCAAGGTTGTTAACCTGCTTGTTAAAAAGTAAAGAATATACATCCTACTTTAAACTAGACAGACATTCTGATCCAGGTTGTTAACCTGCTTGTTAAAAAGTTAAGAATATACACCCTACTTTAAACTAGACAGACATTCTGATCCAGGTTGTTAACCTGCTTGTTAAAAAGTTAAGAATATACACCCTACTTTAAACTAGACAGACATGCTTATGAGCCAGATTGTTAACCTATCAGTTCAAAAGTTTGAGTCCCTATGAAGACATTTCACCCTATACAGACATATGCAGAGTTAGTTAACTTTTTGTGTATGATGTCTTAGTGTGATAATGCCTTTTGTTTTGGTACTTCAATTTGATAATAATTTTGAGTAGCCATGTTAATAGTATGCTATATATTTTTAGGGAGAAGACAAAATTTTGTCAAATGGACTAATGTTAATCAAGTCCAAGTGTGAAGAAACATTGAGGGTATACTGTGTTCCCTATTGCTATAACTGATCACTTGTTATCCATGTTGAATTTTTAGTGTTTAAATGGTAAGATTTTATAGATCATTAGTGTTTGGTTATTATGAATATTCTTTTGGAGTCAAAAAGCGAGACATAGGTATGCTGTTTCCAACGTCGGCGGCTGCGTCAAAAATGAATTAGTTTGTGATTAGGTCTAGTTCATGGTGAACCACTAGTAGTAGGTCAATGATATTTAGTATGCAGTTGTATAAGTATTGGCACATCTTATTACCATGGGTATGATTTGGCCCCACCCCTTCAGTCATGGTCTATTGACTTTGAAACTTTTGCTTAGTTTTCATGTATTAGTTTGTCATTAGGTCAGTTTAAGGGGAACTGTTAGTGGTAGGTCAATGATAGTTGGTATGCAGTTGTATAAGCATTAGCACATCTCATTTCCATGGAGAATATTTGGTCCTTACCCCTCAGTCATGGTCTATTGACTTTGAAACTTTTGCTTAGTTTAAATGTATAAGTTTGTGATTAGGTCAGTTTAAGATGAACCACTAATATTAAGTCAATGATATTCGGTATGCAAATGTATTGGCATTTGCAAGTTTCATTTCCATGGAGATTATATAACCCTACCCCCTAATTATGGTTCATTGACTTTTACATAGTTTACAAGTTAATGTTTGTGTTTAGGTTTGTTTAAAGGGAACGACTTATGAAAAGTCAATGGTATTTGGTTTGCAGTTGTATTAGCATTGGCAAATCTCATTGCCATGTAGATTGTTTAGCCCTGTACCTTCAGTCATGGTTCATTGACTTTGAATATTTGCATAACTTACATGTTAAAGTATTGCTATTTTAATTTCAACATTTGCGTTATCAAAATAACAAATAGGCGAGACATATCTCTAGATCTGTGTTAACAGTTTATTTTTTAATTCTTAATCATTTGCTTGCGTTTTACTGACACCCGTAAATGGATTTATTTTTTGGTTGTAAAAAGTAAAATAACAAAAATAACAAACTCCAAGGGAAATTTAAAACGGAAATTCCCTTAACAAATGGCGAAATCAAAAGCTCAAACACATCAAACGAATGGAAAACAACTGTCATATTCCTGACTTGGTACTGGCATTTCCTTATGTAGAAAATGGTGAATTAAACCTGGTTTTATAGCTAGCTAAACATCTCACTTGTATGACGGTCGTGTAAAATTCCATTATATTGACAACAATTTGTGAGCAAAACAAACTGACATAATAGGTAAAAATGTCAAAAATTGCATACAGCAGTCAATATTTTTTTATTATCTTGATCACCATAAAAACAAACAATGTCAACAAAGAAAAATAAATGGCATGTTAACACTCTATAGACAAAGCACATCAGCAAAAATGAAAGACAAGAATACAAAAAATGACCATAGCTCAATAACACAATGGTGGGATGTATAAATACCGAGCCACGCCAGCAGGATATTACCAAACATGGACTAAACAGTAAAGGTTAAAAATATACAAAGACAAATAAAAAGAACACTTAAACATGTAATTAAGATTATAAACAACGTCAATACATAGAATCTATACTTCAAGTCCATCATGTATTATTTGTGAGCCTAATGTATCATTTGTAAGCTTTTACACTGATAGTGATAGTAGTATTTGAAGACAACAGTGGGTACTGCAGAATTTTTGTAAGATAGAAACTGCCTTTCCAGCACATCCTGGCTTTGATTTCTGATCATCTTTTTGATACCTTAAAATAACTTTTACTGTAATATTGGTTTTATTCAGAAATACTCTTTGTGATATATTTATAACATCACATATTTTTATGGCCCCGCAAAAAGTTGTTGGGGCCATATAGTTTTACCCTTGTTCGTCATTCCGTCATTCTGTCATTCCGCAACAAACCATTATACAGACTTTTTTTCTGAACACCTTCAGATATTGGGCTGATTTTTGTATGGTATGTGAGTTAACCATGATGAAATACAGATCAAGTTTTAAGTTTTGTTCTGCTCTGCTGATTTTTGCCGTAATTACAGGTTTTTGACTTTGAAAATTGTTGAATATCACAGTTATACAGACTTTTTTCTATACGCCTTCAGATTTTGCGATGACTTTTGATATGTGAGTCTTCCATGATGAGTTACAGATCAAGTTTATGTTTCGTTCCGATATGCTGATTTGCATGTCGTTTCAACTCATCTTCCTGTTTGCTGATAGTTTGAAATTTAACTACTCATTGATCAAGGAAATTTTTCATCAAACTAGTATTGGTCTTGAGAGCTGGATACTATCCATGCATGTTTGTGTCCACATGTGTTGTTGAAATTGCAGATTTTTCAATTTTTTGAGATGGAGCCATTCCTGTCGTTCCGATACATCTAGTTCAAATAGACTTATTTTAATTTCTGTGTAATGTTGTTCAAATTTAATGAAATTTTACTATGTTTTTCTTTGTAGAATTTTGGGATCATGGTTGGTAGACATCACTCTTCAAAAGAATTTAATCTACATGGTAGCTTTCCAATTTGCAAAAAAGTTGTCTTGTTAATGATAATTGTAATGAAAATAAACTATTACAGATTTTTTGCCATGCACTACATATTGTCTACATATTCCGTAATTGTGATCCTAATTCAATGTTATGACTATCAGCCTTATTTACTTTATGAATTAAAAATTATGATATTAACACTTACCATGCTGAATTGTTTCAGATAATGTCTAATTTTCGTTTATTTGCCAAAATATGCAAATTAAATGCAAATGAGCTTTACCCTGCTGCTGATGCATATTGATTCCTTTAAATCTAAGATAGGGGATCACAGGGTGGGGTAATCTTGGTGAGGAGGCAGGGGTTGGTGGGCGGGAATTAGCCCCAAAGTTGGTCATCAGGTGCAAAAAGCGTCAATTTTGATGATTTTTCGTCCTATTTCTTGACCAGGAAAACCGAGGGATGCTGATAGATGTATCTTACTGTAGTCTGCATGTAGAGTAGACCCTAATGAACACACTTATCACAACAAACCTAGGTCGGAGTCAAACTGATCATGGTACAGCAGTCTAAAGAAGGTCATTTGCACCCTAAATCCGGAATTTCTAGATTTTTCCCAATTTTTGGCTTCAACTGGACCAGCAACCGGAAGTAGTTGTTCACTAAGAGGATTTCAATAATAAACACAGTATTTATATTCCAGCAGGTTTACACTAATTTTTAAAGTTTTAGGCCTCTGAACTGCGTGTGTCTGACATCGAAGAGAAGCCCATCCCTCCAGAAAAACCAGTTTTATTCGATTTCAATTTTACAAATTTGTATTTGAGCTGAAAATGCACCTTAAACATGAGAAACATGACAATAAATAGCCTCAGTTTGAGGAAACATGTAACAACTTTGAAATTATGTCATAAATTTGACCTCTAAAAGTATGGAGAGCCATTGGAGCCAAATAAAGGTATCACCGCATGGTAAGGGTTAAGAAATGGAAAAAATGCTTCATTCTTCTCTACTTCTCAAATATAAATATGCTTAGAAAAGGTTGATAGTTGGCAATCATGGTTCATTTACGTATTTGTAGATATATTTATGGATTTGATGTTCAGTGTGAAATTTATTTGTGTTGTGTTTTTGTACAGGATTATTTGACTTCTAATAAACTTAGAAAAGACATTATTATTGTTAATAGATATAAGAAGATGTGGTATGAGTGCCAATGAGACAACTCTCCATCCAAGTCACAATTTGTAAAAGTAAACCATTATAGGTCAAAGTACGGCCTTCAACAAGGAGCCTTTGCTCACACCGAACAGCAAGCTATAAAGGGCCACAAAAATGACTATTCTAATGCAATTATTTTGTATCAATGGTTCTGATTGGATGACAGTAAGCGTTAAATTCTCTATCTCCTTGTCTGTAACTAAGGCAGCCGACATTTTGATTTGCTTAATGTATTGATGCAATTTTTATAATAATAAGCATGTTGCACCTAGAAATCTTTTTATCAAATTTAATTACATTCTGAAGCAGCCAAGAAGCCAGAAAACGTCCGGTATTTACGTTTGACGCCGGAAGCATAGCTATGACGTCGACTAGTTTAGGGGCCAAAGAAGAGAACATCTTTTAGCAGAATTTTCTTTAATGAGAATTTTACACTGAAATAATGATTGAAATTGAATTATGTACTTGTTTTGCATTAGAATAGAGATAACTGTATTGTATTTGAAGCTTTACGGAAGTCCATCGGTGGTTTTACTGTCGCATATACCCGTTTACCCGTCTGCGTTAATTGTAAAACCATTCAAACAGGAAAACCAACGGTCTAATCTATATATAAAACGAGAGACACTTATAAAACCACATCAACAAACGACAACCACTGAACATCAGGTTCCTGACTTAGGACAGCTGCAAACAAACGCAAGTTTGTTGACCATTTGACATTAAGGATCTGTAATTAATGTATCTCTCATTGAATTTTTGGTGAAGCTGCATAGGTGAATTGAACCTAACATGCTAGAAATAGTGTATGGAAACCACACTTATGTCCATTAATATTCAAAATATGAAAACACGACTAGAAAAGTGAATTCTTCTGCCAACAGTCGTCAAGTTTTATTAAAATTCGGACTCCTTAAAAAGAGGATTGAAGGGAATTTAATATTTTATATGGCCCAGTCAGAAGGAATATACAAGAAAGTTGTACATATTTTAAACAAAATAGTTCCTACGCTTAGCTGTATCTTTGTCAATAGGTCAAATATTTGGTTAGTTTTGGTATCAAATGAAAGCTTAGGGGCTTGGGATCACTGTAGAACCCTTGTTGAAAGTTTCTTTTGAATAATATAAAAAGTATATTAAATTATAATAGGAGGGCACATTTGCCCTGTTGTTCAGATCAGAAGTACCTGGGTCAATATCCCTAATGGGCCTCAAATTGAGGAACTCAAAAGTTGTGCGTAAACAAAAAATCTCTGTAGTGATATTGGGCATGTTTTTATTTTTAATAAGTGACTGAGCTTAACCATTTGTGTTGATTTGGAAAGTAGAGGACCATAGAATAAATGTGTAAAAACTATGGAGTTATTAAATGTTTTCAAAGTATTGAATTTTCAAAGAACTTGTGTGAAAACATGGATTTTTTACCACGAGGAGCCGCATCACGAAGGTATCGGGTCCGTTCGCGCCCAATACACGTTCGCACCCCACACGTTCGCCCCCTGGGTCCGTTCGCACCCTTTTTTTTTATTCAAAAACCCGATGAATTATAAGATGTTTTTTAAGATGTTTATCTCAAAATAAAGAAAAATTCGGCAATTTTTTAATTTTTTATATGAAATATTGTTTTAAATTGATTTGATGATTAATTATTATATGTTAATTATGTATGATTACGGTTAATTATATATGGTGTTTACACAGCTAAACTTGATGTAAATTCTGCATGTAGTTATATTAGCATGTATTTAACTTGGTATGAGTAAAAACAATTAAGATTCAAAATGTTCAAAAATCGTTTTTAAAAAGTCACTTCATTTTAAAACCATGAACAAAAAAATATTTATAGCAATACACTAACCAAAATACGATTGAAAAATTAATTAAGACAAAATCAATAAAAAGGGTGCGAACGGACCCGGGGTGCGAACGTGAATGGGCGCGAACGGACCCGGATTCAATCACGAAAGGATTTTCGGGGTATGCTAATTTACGGAAAAAATGAATCCCACTTCGTACCCTGAAAATTTAACCACATATGTGAAAATGTCTCCGGTTCGAAACGAGCCGTCACACATATCCAAGTTGGCGATATGGACTGAGCTACAGAGGAAAATATTACCATTACCGCCTATGGGTAATCAATTGCACATATTGACCCACCTGTTTCTGTACTATCAAACTTCCGGGAACTAGTACTGAACGCTCTAATATGCAATTAAAGGTGTGTTGAATTTTCAGCACAAGTCAGGATAAGGTATAGTTTTGACATGAAATGACTTCCACTTTATTTGAACTTCAGTAAGACAAAGTATCCGTTAATGCTTGAAATTGCAGAATTTACATAGAAAGCAATGGGGCTATGAATTAGTGGTTTTTGTCGAGCCTGCGACTTTTGTCGCAGAAAGCTCGACATAGGGATAGTGATCCGGCGGCGGCGGCGGCGTTAGCTAACTTCTTAAAAGAAGATATTTTAGAAGGTGGAAGACCTGGATGCTTCATACTTTGTATATGGATGCCTCATGTTACGAAGTTTCCGCCATTCACATGTCCAATGTCTTTGACCTCATTTTCATGGTTTAGTGACTACTTGAAAAAAAAGTTAACATTTTTTGTAATGTTTAATTCTCTCTTATTATAAGTAGTAGGATATCTATAGATTTTGCGTTTGACTTTACTGATAAACTTTGAAACTTAATAGTTTTAAATTTCCGTTTCTTTTGACAGCGTGATCGAGTTATATATATAAGCCATCTGTTCTTTTCAATTTTTAACATAGACCTCATCAGTGGGTTGTTTTTGTTTAATTAATCTTAATAATGGCCATAACATAGATGCATTTCAAATAAAATTTAAATATATTAATTACAAGTAATCGCAATCTCTTTCCGTCGGTTAGATTTTGATATTTGTCTCTGGTCTTATTTTTGGTACAACTATTTTATATAAGAAGAAGAAAATGAATAAAATATATATGGGGTGTCGACTCAGGGTGTCGATGACGGTGGTTTGCGGAGTTGTCATGTTATGGACTTTCCTTTTCTGTTCGGCGTGTTCAATGTAGATATATTTGATATTTTAATCTTTCATTTAATATGATTTGTTGAATTAATAACTAAAATAATATATTTAGTTCACAATTAATACGATAAAACAAAAACAAACATAAATTTTGCGCTGTTCGGCGATGTGCGGTTTGCGATCGGTGATGAATAGATTTACCGTCTAATTAATATTAGTTCATGCATTTTGTAAAGTTATTTTAATGTTATGTTGCATATTTAAGTTGTTTTGTTGTTTGTTTTTATGTTGTGTGGTATATTTTGAGTGTTCTGTGGTATTCTGTGGTGTTCTGTGGTAAAAAGACGCTCCGCTATATTTGGTATGTGCGTACCTTGCCAGGTCCTCATGCCCGTCAGACAGTTTTCACTTGACCTCGACCTCATTTCATGGATCAGTGAACAAGGTTAAGTTTTGGTGGTCAAGTCCATATCTCAGATACTATAAGCAATAGGTCTAGTATATTCGGTGTATGGAAGGACTGTAAGGTGTACATGTCCAACTGGCAGGTGTCATCTGACCTTGACCTCATTTTCATGGTTCATTGGTCAATGTTTAGTTTTCTTGGTTAATGTTAAGTTTGTGTGACAGTTGTAATAAAGCTTTATATATAGGACTATCAACATAATATCAATGATTAGTAAAGAAGGCGAGACATTTCAGCGTGTGCACTCTTGTATTCCTTAAGGCTTGGGATTCCTCAAAGAATTGAACTTCAATTCACATGTGAAAATATGTGACAGAATAAGATAACTCTTCTCTATAGTCTATACATGTTATCAACGACCACTGTGGAGACAAACTATTAATTGATAGTAAACAACTGTGGTTTCTAGTATAATTAGTGAAAAGATTGGAACTATTGATCCAATTCTTTCTTAAGTCACCGGCCTCCCAATTGATTTGATTTTGATTTTTGGTGTTTTAACGCCACTTTTAAGCACCGCTTTTGGGTTATTTCGTGGCGGCCAGTTTTTATTGATGGAGGAAGCCGGAGAAAACCACCGACCTTCGATAGGAAAACTGACAATCCTAGTCAATTAAGATTGGAGTCGAGTGCACCTGCACGAGCGGGGTTCGAACTCACAACCTCAGTGTTGACTGGCTAGTGATTACAGTAGTAACTACTTAGACCACTCGGCCACCGAGGCCCCGCCTCCCAATTGAAAATAGCCAGATAGCTACTAAATCTAAACACTATGTTATAGTTCCCTATAATACCGTGTTTGTACTTACGCACAGAAGAAATGTGAAACATTTGGATTATATCTAGAGCAGTTCATTCAAGTACAGGTCTCTTTAGTTTGTCATGTTTATTAGGTAAGAGTACTGATACAATACAAGTATGATTGACAACAGCCATGATCACCAAACAATCTGAGACCAGATTGGGTCTTTATAAGAATGTCTCACCTCCTTAAATGCCAATCATATTTTACTTGAAAAATCAGCTAGTGTGCAATTATCATCTGTAATTGATCAATATTTTAGGTTACACTTATCAGTGATTGGCTTGAAACAATGAGTAAAATTTCAAAACTCTCAACCTGAGCAAAACAATATATTTTTCGTGTTAGTTCCCTATCAAATTTCTTTTAACACTATTAGTTATCAAGTGGGAAAGGTATTTTTTGAAATAAAGAATGACCCTCCATTTTAATAAAATTTATTTGTTTATGTTGTACAATTACATTTTAAATGCCCTTTCCTGGAAAATATTCGATTTTAAATTTTAAAATCAAATATTTTCCAGGACAAGGCATAATAAATTGAATTAAAATACCCCCTACAACTTTCATCTTTTGTGTCCTATAATTGGTCTGAAAAATATATTTTGTGAAATTGTCAAAACAGCTGTTCTGGAAAGGTAAGCCATTCCTTCTCCACTAGTGACA